TATATAAAAAAAATCAAAAATCTAACCAACTTATTAAAAACTTTGGTAAATAATTATTTACCATTTTGTATAGCCACTATTAGCTCTAATTACATCATTTATATGAGTTAGTATAATATCAACCAACTTTTTGCATACATCAGACCCTAACGCAACCCAAATTTTTTGAATTGCATCCCATAACTGATCCTGTGTACTAACAGATGTTCCAAGTGCCTCAAACGATGATCCATTTTATTCCAAAGGTGTTCTATGGGATTTAAGTCAGGGAATTGTGCTGGCCAATCAAGAACTTTAACCCTATTATCTTCAAACCATTGCTTTGTAAGATATGCAGTGTGTTTAGGATCATTATCTTGTTGAAAAATAATATTTTCTTTATCCATTTCATGCCACGCAATAGTTCCCAATAGGTCTTCCTTTAAAATTTGGCAATATAAATCACCATTCATATATCCATAAATTCGGCATATGTTACCAACCCCATTAGATGTAAAACATTCCCACACCATAATATTACCCTATTCAAATTTGACCATTGGTTTAACATGATGATCACGTAATAGTTCTACTGATTTTTTCTAATAATATTCTTTACTATCTGATCTATAAATCATAAATTTTGACTCATCTGCACTTTACTCCAATCTTCAACTGTCCATAACTTGTATTTTTTTTGCAAATTTTATCCTTACGATTCTATGTGTTTTTCAAAGATATGGTTTTTTGCACTTAATCCTTGCACTCATTCCATTTCTATATAAGGTTCTCTTTACTGTACATTCACTAACTTCAATTTGTTCTTCTATTTTTAATTTTTTTTGAATTGCAACAGCATTGCTACATTTACCTGTTGTAATTAATCTCAAAACTTTTCGTTTATATCGACCAGTTAAGAGTCGCGAACGCCCAGATTTAGGTTTGTTTTTATTATTACCAGTTTTATCTTTATGTTGCTTGGTTCTTATAACAGTTGATTGAGAAACATTTTTCTTGTCTGCTATATAGCAGGATGGAAAACCTTTATCAAATAAGGCATAAATCTTAGCTCTTTTTTCAACAGAAAGATAAACCATAGATATTTTATAAAATTACAAAGAGGCGAAAAGTGCCATAAGGCATCTTTTTTATATGTATCGCATAGTTGTTTTGAAGCAAAAAAAAATTGCGTTATAAGTATTGATATTTATTTCTTAAATCGATCAAAAGAAATGCATCGCCACTTTGGCGAAAGATTCATAACAAAAAAAAAATATTCTTAAAAAAAAAGATGAAAGAGATTGATAAAGATTAAGGTATGACGAACTCTATATTTAAGTTTTGTAACACTGTGCTTTTTAAATTACAAGATATTTTCATTTTAAATTTTGTATTCGGGTGATGCAATACTTTTGATCGCCACTGTATACTTTACGTCAATAAAAACTCTAATTTACAATAACTTAATCGTTGGCCGAAAAAGCAGTTATAATTTCCTTCAAAAAGCTTATATTTAGGAATGAGACCACCATACTGTAATTTCCTCTTCTAAGGATTTATTATCCCAAAAGGAATATTAGCATATGGGGCCTTTGCAATAGAAAAGGGAGAAATTGCCGGAAAAATCAAAAATGAGTTAATGCTAAATTTGAACATATTTCAGCCTAAAAATCATATTTGGTATATAAATGTAAAATTAATTTTTCCGGCAATTTCCCCCTTTTTATTGCAAAAGCCGCATATAGTAACAAATTGCTTGTTTAAAGCAATCAGAAACTTAATGAAAATTATGTATATCATCTCGCATTAGGAAGAAACATGATTATCGTTGCTGAGCATTCTTCTACATCAAAATTAACAAAATCAACTAAACTTATTGTAAGTTATAGTTTTTATATACGAAGGATTTATCGGAGTTATCGCGGCGAAATAAACAACATTATCCTATACCAAATATCTTAAATTTTGCGTTATATATACTGTTATTGTATATATAGGTATCTAGATTTTAATTGAAATTAACTACACATTTTATATTTAATATAGTATAAAGGACGTTTCTTCACTTAAAAAAATAGGTTTTAACAATAAAGATTAAAGAATATTGACAAAATGAAATTTAGCAGAACCAAACTTTTTTCTAAATTAAAAAAATTTTTTAATTCAACGCTTTAATGACCAGAGATTTTATAATTTTATATATCGATCGTTAAATTATTATACCAATTACAAGTAAATGTAGAACGTAACATGATTGATTGTTTCGTTTGGTTTCGGAAAAACTAAGCAACTGTAAGACGAGTGTATCGAGCATTAACCCTGATTTTCAATATTCAGCATGTAATAAAATAAATAAATTTAATTTTTGCAATGGAATGACCTTCAAATAATGATGCTGATTTAAAGAATGATAAATTATGCCAGAACGTAAGCGGTTGGAACTAGCCTAAAATCCCTAACCGGTTTAAAATTTTCTTGGCCCATTAATTAACCGGTTATATTTAACTCAGGATGGCACTAATAAATTTTGGTGAAGCTAGCGAAATGTTTGATCACAAAAGATCTTGATCCTGCCGAAAATTAAATTTTAGCAGAAGTTAAAATTAATTCTTTTTTACAATTGTTACATGAATCACGAATTAAATAAAAAAAATAAATAAATAAATTTCAAAGTTAAATATTAGCAAGAAAATTTTTCATACATTTTAACAGATTTGTATAAAATAGCATGCTATAAAGATATTTGTAAAAAATTCAAAAAAAACTGAAAAATACTATGAAAAATCAAGTTACTATTAAGTGATCTTAATTATTAGTTAATATTTACAAGTTAAAAGACATTAAATAGATTATTCTAGTTCTAAAGGTATACAAGAAAGATTTATAAGGTGCAATGATAAAAGTTATAGACTTACATTACATATTTGGAAATAAATTAACGGAATAAATATATATAAATATAAAGATTCTTGATTTATTATTATTTTGATTAATGTTAATGAATGATTTTTCATGTAGTAAACTTCAAGGAAAAAGCTATCTTCAAAAAGGATTCTGCTTTTATATTTAGACTTAGCATAATTTTATAAATCGAAAAAATGTAATTAATAAAAGGAAATTAGACTTTGTAGAATTAAATAAGCTGATATTAAAATCATAGATTTATAAAAAGTTTATATCCAAAATTAAGTTCAATAATTATCGTATAACCGGGAGCTGTTCAAAATCCTGAAGATCAAGAGTCAAAAATCCCGAATGATCATAATTACGAATATTACTGTATTTTTATTAAATTAAGTATATTTTAAAGAGTTCTGTCACGAGTTTATTTAGTTTCTTTAAAAATTTAGCAAAAAATCTATATCTTGACTACTTTTAAAATATTTTTTTTTTGCCGACCATCGATAAAAATGAATGAAAATTGCTAAAACATATAATGTACATCAAAAGAAAGTTTAAAAATCATTAATATAATTTTAATAATGTTGTGCGATACAAATCAATATTGCAATTAGCAAACTATTATATTATAATTTTAAAATTATGTTATTCAGAAGGATTATAGCCATTCGGGATTATGATCGTTAGGGATTTTGACCCTTCGAGATTATGATCTTTCGGGATTATGACTTCGGGATTATGATCCTTTGGGATTTTGATCTTTGGGATTTCGTATCAAACCCATAGAATTTTTTCTGGAGGGTATCAGTACCCTCCAGACCCCCTTCTTAGGCTTTTTTTTTATCATTTTTTTTTTATTTTTTTCTATTTTTATTTTATTTTTATTTTTTACTTTCATTATTAATCTAAAAATTCATACCGGTATGATATAGTTTTACATCAATTGTAAAACCATACATTCCATAATAAAAATCCATACTATACATGATTACTATTTACACTATATGGAAATCGTTAGTTTATAAACTTAAATGATCATCACTCTTAATTTTTTAAGCCAATCAGATTATTTAATATAATAAGTCATTGACGGAGGTACTTGAGAACCTTGAGAACGGCCTACAATACCTCCCTAACTTAAAAGTATCAGGTATTATTTAATCGCAAATGTTAAATTTTTGAATAAGACAAGATATTAATTAATTACATAGCAATTAAGTAAGTTTTATTAGAAAATAGTACTTTTAAATTATATCACTTAGTCTCTAAACTTCCTACTTCTACTCTTACAAAATACTTTAAAAGTAGTATATTTTTTTCATTTTTTAGTCTTTTTTTTAAATTATAGTTTAATGTTTTTTTCTTGAATGATATCCCCTTCCTTACAAGTCATTTTTTGCTTGAATAAGATCAGGTACTGTAGTTAGCACTATATAGTAATGGTTATATTATTTAAGCTACTCAAATTATGAGTTGACATATTTCTTTCTTACATAGTTTATTAGCCCAGAGCAAAGCTACTTTTACATATGGTGTCAAAGTTTTTCATTTGCTCACAGCTCGAGTCAATGAATTGGTTCATTTTATTACATGTTGTAAACAATTAACTAGTTTTATTATTTAATGTCAATTAATTTTGATATATTTTATAAAATTTAACTATCCTTATATTCAAAAGTTTAATCATTAGTTAAATATTTCAAAACTAATTGTAAAGCATAAAATAAACCTTTGATTTGTTCCTTGTTTAATGTACAAACAATTATGAAAGAAAAATTGTTATATTTCAAATTTTTAAAAAAGAATGGTACTGGATTTTACGTAGAAAGTTGCTATTGTTATCTCCTATTTTTGTAAAAGGTAGTAATTAAAATAATTTATTTATTTATTGACAATATACAAATGAACTAATGTTGAATAATTTAAAATAAAAATAATAAAGTTTTATAAAGGATGAAAAAGAATAAGTTAAGTTTATTAATAAATGATAAGACAATGCAATTATTAATGCCACGCCAGACGCTCTGTAATAGGCCTTTAGAGAAGAGAATGTCCCAATTTAATTCCATTCAAAACTTAGTACAAGTTTTATAACTTTATTTCTTCTCATAGCCTTGCTACAGAAATCCTAAAAAATTGTGGCTGGATGACTTCTAGACAAATTAATTGATCCCTGATGTCAAAAATGACCAATCTGATAATTACAAGGTCGTTTACTATTTTTTCAAATGACCTTGGTCATTTTGACTTGAAATTTATAATAAAAGTGAGGTCATTTCAAAATCATTTGCCAACAATATTCTGATATATATTTCCCATCAGTTCATTCGGTTTAATGGCCAAAAGGTCCAAAATGTTAATTCCAATAGATCCGCCAGAAATGACATAGATTACTGAATTAAAATCAGCCATCAGATCAGGTCGTAACTTTACTCGACCTGGGTGTCATCTGACATGGCAATTTAGCGCGTTATTTAAGAAACTTAAAAAAAAGATTATCTTATTTCAGATTGGTGATCAATTTATAAACAAAATTTACATTTTTTTATTTTTTTCTTTTATAAACTTTTGTAATTAAACAAAAAATTCATTTATAATATGATTGTAATTACAACATATTTTTAAATATTGGTTCTCAATATGATTCAGACGAAACTAGTAACTTAGTTTAGAAAAATTTGGTTATAGCGACAAAATATTTAGGAATTCGTCAAAAAGATTGGTACAAATATTTATTCTTCATTTTAGCTTGCTTTTATTATAAATATTTAATTATTATAAATTGATATTATGCATTTAAATGTAAGATCTTATAAATTCATTTTTGATACCATTCATAAAATTTACGATGGCTATAATTTTGCTTATTGCATCATTAAAATAATACAAAATTTTTGTATATTCAGAAATACTTTTAGATTCAAATTTATCAACCCAAGTATAGTTACTAATATCTAACAAATATAATTCTTTTGACAAATTAAGTTTGTCTAATCCATTTGGATGAGTAAGAACACCTATATAATTCAGCCAATCATTATTTATCAGTTATATCAAAATATAATGCATAAAAGAATGCATAAAAGAAATATTTACCAAAAGTAATAATAATATAATTTTCAACTAAATTTGCTGTATGAAATGCAAGTGATGGAAATTCGCCAATATTAGATGAATTTTGCGGTACTGTCCATTCAAATGGAGTCGTTTGAGTTTTCAAAACAGCTAGGTCTGGTTTGGGTTCAATAGACTTTCTTTCATCGCCTTTTATCCCACCTAGTATAATTATTCTTCCGTCTTGAACTATATTAAATTAATTATAATAATGTTATTATGTGATACTAATATAATAATATAATTTTATTGAATGGTATACCTAATACAGCTGAATGACCACAACATGATTCAATTTGTTTGACACTTCTTGCTTGGATAAATAATTTACAAATAATTAATTTAAGTAAAGAAATTAAAAATAATTACATAAATACACTTACCATCATTGACCAGATGTTAAATTTTGTATCATAAAGGTTAATTTGGTTTATATCCACTTCACTCTGAATATTATCAGTTGTTTCTTCAACACCTCCAATATATGCAATCATACCATTTGATAATAACGTTGCAGTATATAAAACACGATTAAAAGCGGGATTAGCAATTGAACCATATGACCACATTAAATCATTGACATTTAATATTATTATATCATCAAAAAATTCGCTTTCTGTTCCTGAAGAAACTCCACCAAAAACATAAATTTTTCCAATATCATCAGCGATAGCTTGAATATTTACTCGTCTCAATGGTTCTACTCCTGTAATTCTAGGTGCATTCCATTGCCCGGATAATGGATTAAAAGTCTGTACTAATGAGATAAGAACATTTTTATTATTATGATCAAGCATATATCCTCCAATATGGAATATTGTCATGTCATTATTATTGTAATTTACTGCAACTGTAGTCCCCCAACAATTTCTAAAACATATTCCTGAATCTAATGTAAGATCAGTCCATAGGGAAGCCTTGAATTAAAATTTGAGACACATCAAGATAGAATATTTCATTAGTACAAGATTTTTCATTTTTCCCACCACCAAAAAAGTATAATTTATTTCCAATAAAAACGGATGAATGACCAGTACGTCCTGCAGGAGTAAATGACTCAACTCTAAAAAACATTTGAATTATTATGACGATGAAACATAATTCAAGTAATTTATTATGGTTTTTGCAAGCCATAATTCAACTATTATTAAAATTAAAAAAATTTTTTTTTTGATTAGAATTCAACCTTATAATCCTTTATTTACATTACACCGATGCTGACTTTACATAAATGACGATGCTAAATGCAAATCCTTTGCACTTAAGGTAAGGTTAAATACATTACAAATCTGTGTAACGTCCTTTTGCGACCACCCCAAATAATATTTTATTTTGTAGTCAGATATATATTTTTTTACCATTCAATGTATATTTTTATCATCCCTTTATACTTAAATGTAGTACATTTTTAAAAAAACACCGAAAATTAGCAATAGATATCATAGATATATTTTAAACAAAGAATGACAGCTTATTTAACATCTTCATTCATGTTTGAAATAACAAATCCGTTAGAAATAAAATCAAATAATTATTAATGCCGCAAGTCATAAATTGTTATGAATGAAAAGATTTTCAAAAAAATATAATTACAATTAATAATTTCGAGATAAAAATCTATCAACACATTACAAACTCAATCTTATTCATTAGGAATTTATTAAGAAGTGATATTCGATAATGATTTATTTATCAAATAGAATAATATCGAGCTATTTTATACAATAAAAGAAATCGTTACTATCCTATTTAAATTTTATTTTGCACATTTCAAGTATGGTTTTTTATTAAAGTCATTCTTTATCTTGCATAACTTAGTATGCATTTGTACAGAAACTGGACGAACTCGTAATCGAATAACATCAAACCAGCTTTCCGACTAACGAAAAATTCATTTTCGAAGTATATACATGTAGTTAGGTGCTTGAGAACGCCCTTATTTGATTTTAAAATTATTTTCAACAATATGGCGCTTGGTTTTTTCATATCGACAATAAAAACCTTATAATTTGTGTTAAAATTTTGATTTATTTATATTTGCCTTATGGTAATTTTTTTTTTCAAAAGAACAATTGACACTTTCGTACCATATAAACACATTATTAAGAATATTTTTGATATGAGAGCAGGCGTTAATAATTTTAGTGGTTCAATAATTCGCGATATCGACCAAACAAAGAAATAAAAAAATGTAAGAAATGCAACTAATACTTCCTTAGAAAACGTTCTTTAATAGAACTAAGTAAAAAATGAATATTGTATACTATCTAAATAAATAAATGAAATGAAACGAAGTCTAAAAATTACTTTGTAAGGTTTCATCACAGCACAGAATTTCCTTAAAAATATCAATTAAGCTATCTTGGCAATACAAATTATCATTAAATACGATGTGTCTCAAAGGACTGAAATGACATATCATCCAGATCTGATATTTATGTCTGAAATTGCAGATATTTAGATATCAGAACTGCCAGATGACAGAATTCGATCAATAATTTAAAAAGTGACATGAACTTCTCCGGAAGTATCTAGCCTCGTTTCGAAAATAAGAGAACTACAGACCAGCTTCATCATGACGTACATCCTTAAAGTGTAAGAGTGGCCGCGTCAATAGACCATAATTATTGAAAGAAAAAGTTTAAAGCAATGATTTCGCTAAAATTTTACAAATTAAATATATAATATCAAGATGGACCTGTGAATTAATTAAAAATGCAATGCAACTGATTTGCGGATGTAAAATAATGGTGTTGATGCTTTTTAAGCCCACAAAATTAATTATTGTATTATAAGTTTCTTTACCACTTGTTATGTATGATGCTCACGTTACGGACAATATACTAGACGATTAAAAGTAGACATCACGTGATTGTTTCACGTGCGGTTGTAGGATAAAGGCCAAACCCTGGTCTATTATAAGGGCACGCAATCGATTTTTAATATCTACATTATCTACAATATTTACGCTAATTTTTTAATTGAAATATGACATAATAGCTCCAATGCTTCAGGATAGTCGTTCACTTGCATTGTGATCTTTCAATTTTGAAACCGGATGATGCAGTTTATATATTAACCCGGTTGGATTTATACGTTCGTGAGAATTTTAATATCCGTGCTATGAATAGGAAATATAAGGCAAGGAGCGGGCTGTTTTTTTTTTTGTTCCTTATTTTTAAATTTCCCTTAATTTTACAATTGCTATAAAATAAAACACACAAAAGGTTACACCCCTAATAGATGCTAAATTTATATAAATGTTCGTAATCATGATCAAGTACAGTACATTGGTCGATTTATTGAACCACATCCTCAACAAACTACTAGCTATAGCTCGTGGCTTAAAAAAATCCAAAATACAGTTTTGCGTAACAGAATTTGTATAAACAGGAAAACTTATCAGCAGCAATTAATTTCGAAATTATATACGATAATTCAAAAATAAACCTCGGCTTTATTACTATAATTTTAAATTCTATATCACCTGATCATTACGTAAATGTTTTCATAAACAAATTTTTATGATGTTATATGAACAAAAGAAACTAATTTATATTACGTGATAGCGTGCACATGATTTTCAATTCTTATGGGTTATTTAAGGGTCGAGAAAGAAAGTCTTTGATTTAAATAATAATAGTTATAATAAAAATTAGATTTAAACATTTAAAGAAAATTCAACGACGAGCTGGCTATTTCCAAAAGATCCCGTATTAACTAACAGGGTCTTTAAAAAGAATTACTGTAATTTAATTCTTTGAGATAAAATGTTCTAAAACCGGTTATTAGTTTTCCGTAATAATAATGTGGAATATTTAGAAAAGAAAAACCATTTTTTTTTTGCATGACACGGAGCAAGCGAAGGCAAGTGAATAAATACTCGGGTTTCAAAAAAGCTTAATTTTCATTTTTTTGAAAGGTTTTATAATTTCTTTGTTGCCCATGTACGCTCAAATAAGTCTTGCGACTTCTCTTTCCTATTCTGGTGGAATCATCTGGATTATCAAAACTCAATTTTTCATTATGAAGACAAATGTGTTAAAAAAAAATTATTGACCACAGTTTTTGCTTAATTTTCTAATTTCCGTTATTACCCATTGAATGTAAGATCTTTGAAGAGTCATATGATGTGTCTTTGTCTTTGATTATGTGTGTTGTTTGCTATTAATACGAATCATTTTCGTAATAGGAAAACAACACTTTATTCGAAATGAACTTTTACAATTTATTATAAAAATGCGAGGTAAGTCTAGATATATCTCGTGATCTTTCCACGTGATTAAATTCAAATTTAACCCTTTCTTAAAAATTTAATAATTATTTTGCTATAATAAATAAAAACGGTGATCACATCATTGCAATTTGACTTATGTTATACACCCCACCTACGCAATTTATTTTTTTTTTTTAATAAAAAAAAAATACATCCAAGGCGATGTGAAAATATAAATGTCCAATAAAAGGGGATTCAATAAATAATTTACATAAAAAATTCACCGTTGGCAATGAATTCGTTCCTTCTTAATATCACCTGCGATTTACCTTCGACATTGGCCATTAAAAAAGGAAGTATTTCACTGCATCACAGATTCACAAAACGAAAATGCCGATGACCTTTATTTAATGTAATAGGTTGAAAAAAAAAAAATTTCGCTGAACCAGGAAAACTGTCAAATGAATTCAGTCCTCCATTTTTTTAATAATTAATTTTGAATTTGACTAATCGATCAACATGTTAATCATCATCGTAACACAACCCCTGGCGTAAATCGAAATTTTTTTTTTTTTAACCTTTTTGTATTGTACAACCAACCAAGTTATTTAAGAAAGAAAATTTGCGAAATTATTGTTTCTACCTTTAAAAATCTCTAATTCGTTCATGTCGAAAATAGCAGAAATAGCAGAAATGATTACTTCTACAGATAAAATGATTATTTTTGTTGATAAATTATTCACAAGTTTTATTAAAATACAAGATAAAGACATAGATTATAACGAAACCATAAATTTTATTAATGAGCACGTTGCTATTACTTCTCAAAAAACTGATTATATATTCAACTGGCTTAAAGAAAATCAAAATGAACCAAAAAATATTTTTATACTTGGAATTTTTTATTATTACAAAATACATGATCTAAATATTGGTGAAGGATTTAAATGTTTTTTAAAAAAGCATATAATTGCACTATTGCACAACTATACTTAAGTAAATGCTATAAAAGAGGAATTGGGACTAAAATTAATACTAAATTAGCAATTTATTGGATTCAAAAAGCTGCAGAAAATGGAAATTTATTTAATTGCGCAATATGAACTTGGCTATTCATATTGTCAAGGTGAAGGAAAAAATTCAGATTTAGAAAAGGCCTTCTATTGGTTTCAAAAATCTGCAGAAAATGGTCATAAACTTGCAATGAATAAGATAGCAACTTGTTATGAAAATGGTGAAGGAACTGAAAAGAATTTAAAATTGGCATTTTATTGGTATCAAAAATCTGCAGAAAATGGTCATGAATTTTCAATGTATAATTTAGCATTATGTTATTAAAATGGTGAAGGTACGGAAAAGGATTTAGAAAAGGCTTTTTATTGGTATAATCAAGCTGCAAATATCAATTATGTACCTGCAATGTATGATTTAGCGTCTTGTTATGAAAATAGTAAAGGTATAGAAAAAAATTTAGAAAAGGCCTTTTATTGATATCAACAAGCTACAAATAAGAATCATGTACCTGCAGTGGATAATTTAGCAAATTGTTATGAAAATGGTGAAGGTACTGAAAAAAATTTAGAAAAAGGCCTTTTATTAGTATTAACAAGCTGCAAATAACAATTATGTACCTGCAATGGATAATTTAGCAAATTGTTATGAAAATGGTAAAGGTACAGAAAAGAATTTAGAAAAAGCCTTTTATTGGTATCAACAAGCTGCAAATAACAATTATGCATCTGCAATGAATAATTAAAAGAATTTAAAAAAGGCTTTTTATTAGTATTAAATAGTTGCAAATGATGATTATGCATCTGCAATGTATAATTTAGCTTTATGTTATGAAAATGAAGAAGGA